TATATTCTTTCCATCTTCTTTTAATACTTCCTGGATCATTTAATATTCTGCCTAAAGCATCCTTGATTATAGCAACTCGAGGTTTGAATTTATAATAATTAAAAAGCAGAAGTTGGGGAGAAAAAAATGTTCTCTATACTTCAGAGTGTCAAGTAGGCAGATGCCAGCCACAAGCCTAGGTCTTTCCAGGACTTTCTAACTTCTGATCTGCTGGAACAAACAGGTCTGTTTTGGAGAAGGTACAGCCAGAGTGCTCCCTGGAGGCAAGGATGGTAAAGCTTTGTCTCTCATGCTTTGGATATGTTGCTAGGAGAGGTTATTCCTTGGAAAGTGGCATCATGCTTAGAAAGGTGAGGGGGTCATTGAAAGAGAAGAAGTCTCCAACAAAGTGGCTTGCAGCAATGGGCTCAATTGTGTCAGAGATTGTAAAGATAGCATAAGATTAGGGTCTGTTGTTCATAGGGTCACTATGAGTCATACTTCAGTCAATGGCACCTCACAAAAACAACATAGTTTCTTCGTTCTGGTCACTTAGTTCATAGGGAATTGCACAGCTAACCCAAATGCCACTTTTCTCAGGGAGTTCCACCAATAGCTCCTGGGAAGAAAAATGGGACGCAGGTTACAGCCACTGAGACTCAAAGGAGGGTCAGTTCTGAGTGAGTGCTGACTTGACAGCAGTGAGCTTGAGTTGTTACTTAGAAATTACCTGAGTTATCACTCAGGAATTAAAGACTGTGGCTAATTTTTGTTTGGGTAGGTAAAGTGGTTAGTTACTGCGTATCTCCTCATTTATTCTGTAAGGGCCTATAAAACCACTCTTGCTATGCAGTGCCTCATTTTTCATTTACTTTGTTCTGTTAGGACGGTGACAAGATTATCCTGATGAGTATTCAAAGCTCGTTTCTAATGTGCCATCTTCTGATTCATTCATCATGTCTTTCTGAAGCTTTCAGTGTAGAGTTAGAAATTTTATTAGTCTGAATTTTTATTACTCATTGGCTAACAGGACTGTCCATTGGGGCAAGAGAATAAATCCCCAGACTATCACAGCATTGAGTTCCTTTCATGCATCAGACTGGCACTCTGTAACTCCTTACCTGGTTTAATTCAAACACTTAACATAAATCAGTATCAAGAGTATGTAGCGTCTTATATATTCAGTTCTAAGGTTGATCCCCCCCCCATGAGATGACATCTGTGGCATCTTTACAGTTGTTCAGTGGGGAAAAGCAAGGCCAAATAGAAAATTTTTCCCTTTATGTATTATTCTTACTTTATAACAAAGTCATAATTTATCAAAAAAGAAATTCTTTTCCTTCCTGTCCTCCAGTATATACCAGTACTCCAGAGCTGCTTTAGGAGTCGGAAAACCAGTCCTTTTGTTCTTTTGAGCTACCACTGAGTCAGTTCCACTCCATGGCAACTTTATTTCTAATAAAGCAATGGCAACTTTATTTCTTTTTCTTGGTTTTTTAAATTCTTAACATTTTATTAATTAAAATGAAAGTTTATAGAGACTGAGGATTTCCATGCATTCATTGTTGCACTTTTCTCAATGTCCACCCCTTCCCTCAAGTTCATTCTTCTCTTTGAAAAGTAAAAAAAAAAAAACCCCTCTTTCATTGTTATACAATCCCTCCCCCCAAAGTCTACTCCACTGTGCAGCCTTCACTCTGGACTCCTGCCATGACAATTATACCTAATCATTCTAATAAAACAAAACAGTGTCTCAACCTGAGCCCTCTAGACAATCATGATAATTAAGGACCAAAGATGAAGAATGGGAAATGTAGGGCCTGAGAGAAGATGCCCTGTGAAAGCACGAGGCACAGTTCGTCTTTAGGATAGATTTGTTTCTGAGAGTCAATAAATAGTACTTTCAGAGGATTCAGTCAAAGTTACCCAAGGGCATTCATTCCTTGAACACTCGGCACTTTTCCTTAGTGCAAAAAGTTGCTCTTCAACCATTCTTTGCTGGGACCACTCTCTTCTTTCCTTTGCTAATTGAAATATACCCTCAGAACTTAGGTCCACAGAGAAGTGTTCCTGGACATTGCATCTCGAAGGTAAAACTTCCTCTGAATTCATGTAATCCTTACCTGTCAATCCTGATAAAAGAGTTAATGGGCAGGGGGAAATGTAAAATATTTATTTTATACAAGTATCAAAACATCTAATCGTTTCCTAAACTTGTAACCTTGGACTGTTCATAGCCTTTCTTTTCTCATTCTTAAAAATGTCTTGCCGGGTTAAAATGCTGTGTTTTGTTTGTGAAATGTTTTGTACATGCCAACATGTGGTGCTAAGATAATATATTTGCATTATTTCCAGTAAATTCAGCTCTGGTGACTTATTTTCTGGTGATCTTAGTATTTACAGTGTATAGTTTCCCTCAATATGGCCTCAACACAATTAGAATATATTTAATTTTTCTGATGATAGAGGAATAGGTTTATTATAGGAATTGTTCAAAGTATACATACTTTGGGCATGCGGCCGGGAGAGACCAGTCCTTGGCGACGTACATGATGTTTGGAAGGGTAGAAGGACAGTGCGGGAGAGGAAGACCCCGGATGAGATGGATTGATACAGTAACGGGGACAATGGGTGTTGGTGTGTCGGAATCAGCGAGACTGCCTCAGGACAGGGCAGGCTTCAGAGCAGCTGTACAAAGGGTTGCTATGGGTCATAAGCAACTTGATGGCACATAACCACAACATACATCCATACAAAAGAAAATCAAATATAATGCCATCACGCTATAACCACTGGGCATTTTTTTTTCAATCGTATGTTGTTATGTACTGTTGAGTTGTTTCCATCCCAGGCTCATGGGTTTTGTTTACCTGTCTTTCTTTTGAGGAGCAAGGTGGGGGATTTGAACTGTGTGTCTGTAGTTTGACAGTACAACTTCTTATCATTAGGCCCCAGAACTATTTTAATTATGCAGATAAAGTAGGATAGGGAGCTCTGGTGGCCTTGTCCATAGGAAGCTTTACTAATAATTCACAAGCCATGCCTCTTGGTCGTTCTAATCCTTACCAGTGACTCTTCAGGAGAAAGCTGGGCATTCTCCTCCCTAGCAATTTTCAGCCTCAGAAAACCCACTCGGAGGGTCCACTATGGGTCAGTTCCAACTCCATTGTAATGAAGATTTTTTTAGATTAAAGGATATAATTTCAGGTATTCATAAAACACTATATCTGTATATCTATATCTCTATCTATCTATCTCTATCTCTATCTATCTCTATATCTAGCACAGTATGTACTTTTAAGGATCTTTGTGGTAAATATATAAAATATTTCATCAGTCCTTACATGTATGTTGCTGTTGTTGTTTTATTGAGTTGCCTGTGACTCATAGCGACCCTATGTCCAGCAGCTCTGAAACCTGCCCTGTCCTTCCAGGGTCTCCTTCTCCTCCACTGTCCCTCCACCCTTCCAAGCATGATGTCCTTCTCTAAGGAACCCTCTCTCCTGGCTATGTGCCCAAAGTATGGGAAACAGAGCTTCAAAATCCTAGCCTCCAAGGAGAAAGTTTATTTCACCCTCTCCAAGACAGACCTATTTGTTTTCTTGGCAGTCCATTGTATATTCAAGACTCTTCTCCAGCACCACAATTCGAAAGCATAGCTTCGGTGTGTCACATTGTTAAATATAACATCATTAATCATTCCCAAAATTTTCCTTTGTTAATTTTTTTTCCACTTTTCCATGGATCCAAATGTGATTTCTGCTCCACAGTCTGTTTCCCCTTCCTCAAATGCAAACATAGTATAATAATTTTACTTTGGTCGCTTGTCATTTAGCATGGTGCCTTGGGTATAAGACATGTCCAATACATAGAGTTTACTCCTAAAATGCTTTGAGCATCTTCTGATAGTTTATACACATACAGTTATCAAGACAAACTGGAGCCAGAGCTTTGAAGATTAACACATGATGCTTCCATGTTGTGTGACGCTAACTCATGCTTCCTTTTGCTTTTCTTTCTGTGTAGTTCGTTGCTCAGCCCAACTGCCAACAGCTGCTGGCGTCACGCTGGTATGATGAGTTCCCAGGCTGGCGGAGAAGACACTGGGCGGTGAAGATGGTGACGTGTTTCATAATAGGACTTCTTTTCCCTGTCTTCTCCGTGTGCTACCTGATCGCTCCTAAGAGCCCGCTGGGACTGTTCATCAGAAAGCCCTTTATCAAGTTCATCTGCCACACGGCGTCCTATTTGACTTTTCTGTTCCTGCTGCTGCTCGCCTCCCAGCACATCGACAGGTCCGACTTGAACAGGCAAGGCCCACCGCCAACCATCGTCGAGTGGATGATATTACCGTGGGTCCTGGGTAAATTATATTACTATAGAAAATATAATCAAAGCATATTACTGTCATGGCGTTTTGTTGCTCCGTCAAGAACACAGATCAGAGTTTGGGATTTAGGCATGGTGACCACTAGAGTTGGCATCACGCAGTGTGGTAGCTCCTGGTGTCACGCCCCCATGGACCTCTACACGTACCACACCATAGAGAAGCCAGAGTCGTTTATATTATTGATTCCAGTCATAGTGTTAATATGTGACACAGGTGTAAGCTGCTTAAATGTACTACTTCTCAGAGCATATAAATATCAACCAATTTGGTTGGTAACATCTTTCTATATTGAATTGCAACACCACTTATAGTATTAATAGTCAATAAGCAGTGGCCTGACTTGTTTCTCCTTCTTTTCCTTTATTACTACATTCTGAAAAAAATATTTTTGATGTTGTTGTTGTTGTGTACTGTTGAGTCAGAACTGACTCATAGCTGACCCTGCAGTGGGTTTTCAGAGGCAGTTTACTGCACAGGAGGAGATTGCCCATCTTTCTCCTATAGAGCAGCTGGTGGCCTCGAACTGTGTGCCTCCAAGATTACAACGCAGCATCGTGCCACTAGGCCACCAGAGCTCAGTTCACAAATACTAGTAGACATAATTTTGTAGCTAAAACACCAGAAATATGGAGGCAATGATCAATTACAGAAACATAGATGGCAACAAAACCAGCGGTGTGGACATATACCATTTGCAGATGAAACTACATGGTTTGAAGATGAAATCTCCATGATAATAATTCTGAATGGAGCACACTCAAAGGTGCATAAAGTTCATGAACATAGAGTTGAACTTGGCAGCTATATTGACTATGCAAGCTAAGCTTACAGAAACAAGTTTTGGTGTCATAACTAGCTACAAGTGATGAAGGGTAATTAGTTTCTTCTGAAAATCGGCACCAAATATTTTATCGACAATCATTTTTGTGTCACCCTCTCTGACAATGTCACCAGAGTGATTCACAGCCCCCCTTCTCCTCTCGTGACACCACTACATAAGAATGCTTAACAGGGCTCTGACCTTTCTCTTTCAATTGTGATTTGAGGAAAAGTTGGCAAACCAAGATTCTTTTTCTTTGAGCTATTTATTCACATTGGGTTTATAACATTAATTACAATACCCACAACATGATTGTACGTTTTCCACTGCATCCCTGTAATTTTCATTTCCACTCATCCTTCTAGCCTACCTCCTCCTAATTTTAGAATTTCTTCCTTGGTCCAGTGCTACGGGTGGGTTCCGACTCTATGGTACACAACAACAAAAACATACTAAGAAGTGACTTTCATAGCACTAGCTTCTCAGCACCAAAGCAAAATTAATCTGTTGTTAGCTGTCATAGACCTGCTCCTAAATGAAACCTAATGTCCCATAACATTTCATCTTCATTAAAATGAAGATTTGCACTTCATATCCCAAATTTTATTCTCTGTCTTCTTTGCCTATTTCTTTGACTTGAAAACCTTTTTCCATATATTTGATTGGCATGTTTCAAGGATCATTTTCGTGTTTGTAATGTATATGCTTTTTGAAAGGGATGAGCTTTGTACAGAATGAGAATCGCATACATAAAGTAGCCATTTTAAAAAAATCATATTTGACAGAAAATTTGGAAACAGCGATAATGATTGTACAGTATGATAAGCTGTCACTAACTGAATAGTAAGTGGGGGAAATGTTAAAATGGCAAAAAAAATAATCTATTTAAATGTATTTTTTTAAATTAGGTAATAGATAAGAAATGGAAAATAACATCTAGTGTATCCCCCTTTCACTCTCTTCCTGTCATACAAAGAAAACTATTTGGATCTAGAGCAAATCATGGTAAGGTAGAAAATGTTAAAGAGAGCTGGAGAGAACAGTGTTTCCCTTTATCTCCTCACTGTTGCTGTGACTGAAATTTCCATTTTCATACTTCCTTCCTCTCTGCTGCCACAGTTTGCTGAGAATTTGCGTTTTCCCAATTTATCTCCCCTCTTTACATCTCTCTGCTGGGACATCCGCCTCGCCGTTCAGCAATTAGAAAATATGTCACAAATTTAATGATTCACCCTCTGAGCTGATGAGTTTGAGTTAACTGTCAAAACTGCTGGAGAATCAGCAAAATGAAGGAAAGGTATAAAAAAAAGACTACCAATCCGAGGGAGGCTCTGGTGGCTTAGCGGTACGGAATTATGCTGTCGACCCAAATGTGCTCAGTTTGAATCCAACAGCAGCTCTGTGAGAGAGCGATGGGCAGTGGCCTCCCATGTGATTTACTGCCTCTGAATACCCACTGCAGTATCCCTGTGGGTCACTTCCCACTCCACGGCACATAACAAGTCTGAGTTACAACCACTCTTCAGTTTTAAAGTTTATAAATACTCTTAATAAGAGTATATCTGGAAATAAGAAAATTTCAGGTAGACAAAATTGTTTTTATTGTTATATGCTGTTGAGTTGCTTGAAGCTCATAGTGACCACATGTACAATAGCCCTGAATCCTGCTCTATCTTTTGCCAACTTTACTGAATCTGACACACCTACCCTCATTATCCTATTCACTGAATCAATCCATCTCATCAATGGTCTTCCTTTCTTTCTGTCCTTCCACTCTTCCAAGCATGATGTCCCTCTCCAAGTACATCCAAGGACATGTTGCCCCTCCTTGCAACATATCCAAAGTATGTCTGATAAAGCCTCAGAATTCTTGCCTCTGAGGAGCAGCCTGGTTTCCCCCTCTCTAGGACAAACCTGTTTGTTCTCCTAGCAGTCCATTATATATTCAGTGCTCTTCTCCAGCACCATGGCTCAAAGGCATCAATTCTCTTTCTGTCATCCCTAGTCATTACCCAGCTCCTGACATATAGCAAGCTATTATGAAGACTATGGCCTGGATCAGGTGCATCTTAGTCTCTAGACTAATATCATTGCTCTTCAGTACTCTGGAGAGGACAAAATTAGAGAAGCTTTTTCATCTTACTAAAAAAAGGAGGGGAGAACCTCATGTTCCTGGTAAACTTTAAGATTAGCTATTTAATTCCATGGTGTAGACTCTGATTTGTGCTCGCCCTGTGAATAAGTGAAGCCCTATCCAATCCTGGGTCATTCTCAGTCTCTCCGGAGTTTAGGCCCATTGATGTAGTCACTGTGGCGGCCCTTTTCTCTGAGGGTCTTCCTTTCTTTCTTTCACTGACTCTCTACTTTTCTGAGCATGATGCCTTTTTTCAGGAACTGGACTCTCTTGACAAGATGCCCAAATTATTTGAGATGAAATCTCACCTCCTTGCCTCTTTGAAGCACCTTGGCTACACTTCTTCCAAGGCAGATTTGTTTGTTCTTTTGGCAGTCCATGATGTGTTTACTGTTCCTGGACAGCTCCACAATAGAAAGGCATCAATCCGTCTTTAGTCCTCCTTATTCCCTGTCCAGCTTTCACATGCATAGGAAGTAATTAGAAATATTATGGCTGGGATCAGCCACAGCTTGGTCTTTAAACTGATGTCTTGCATTTAACACCTACAAGAAGGTCTTAACAAAGCCAACCAAAATTGATTGCCTTTGAGTTGATTCTAGGTCAAGACAACCCTCCTTTGGTTTATAAGGCCATAAACCTTTAAGGAAAGAAACTTACCATCTTTCTCCCAAGAAACAGCCAGTGGATCTGAACTCCCGAACCTTAGGTCATCCGTACAATGACCACTACACAACCAGAGTACTCTCTATCAGTAGGTGTTGTAGAAAACACACTGTAATTCTTATCCAGATTCTACCAATAGGGGACAATGAAATCTCTCAGCATTTACATTTCTTCGTCTTCAAAATGAAAGGGGAAATGATCTCTACAGTTTCTGAGTCTATATTGATGTGTATCATTGTTATTAAGGAAGAGAAAATGAGTCCTTGTACTTGGTCAGACGGAAGTGGCCAAGACCTGGGGAGAAAGACATCCTAGTAGAAATATTGTAACTTTTTATTTAGAATATAGACTAAAGGCATGCTCTGATCTGAGGACAGTGTTCATGAGCTGTGCGGTGAGACGCGCTCATGGAGCTGCTCTACTAACCCTGAAGTTCTCTGTTGGTTTGAATCCACCAGTGGCTTCAAGGAAGACAGATGCTCCTCCTGTGTGATTTACAGCCTCAGAAACCCAATGGCAGGGCAGGTATGAGTAGGTTCCTACTTGACAGCAATGGTTTTGAGTTCTTTTGTTTTTTATATTGTCTGATAACAAGGTGCTTTGGTAGGGCACTGTATTACCTTGTATTGCTAACCAAAAGGTTAGTGACTTAAATCTACCTGCTACTTTGTAGGAGAAAGATGAGCCGTCTCTTTCTGTATAGATTTGCCCGTTTGGGAAACTTGGGGAGCTTTGAAATGAGTAACAGCTGGACAACAATGGGTAGTGGGCTGATTGCTAAAGCTAGTGACTTCAAGTTTCTTAACAGAACATTTCACAGGAGATATATAGATCGAGATAGAGATAGAGATAAAGATAGAGAGAGAGAGAGATACACACACACATACCTGGGAGATCTTGATTTAAATTGGTTTATTTTATTATCTTTTGTATGTGTACCATCAAATTGGATCCGACTGGTACAGGAGGAGATTGCCCCTCCTTCTCCGGCAGAACATCTGGTAGATTTGAACCATGTACCTCTGGGATTGCAGTGCAGCTTCTTGCCACTAGGCCACCAGAGCTCCCCTCAATTTATAATAACAATAGAAAAAGACTTAAGAAAAAAATGTGACTTACTTCTAATCACAAATTAATGTACCACTTTCTATTGTATTAATTTTCTTAATGAGAAGTTAAAATTCTATTCACAAGTTTTTTTTTCATATTTTTGTCAATCCGTGTTCATCGTTTGTACTAATTTTTTTTTCATTCTTCAGAGGATGTCCCAGACCTATGACATCATAACTTATGAGGGGTGCTTGCTTTACTAGCTCCTATTTGTTTATCAAGGCTCCAGGAGTTGATGGCTTA